GTTTTAATTATTTAATATTTAAGCTACATTTTGATGCCCTGAAGGTGCAGATTCCTCTAATTGGGCCTCACATTTAATTAAAATTCAAATGTGAATTCTTAATCAAATAAAAAATGTTTTTATTTTAAAAACAATGAGAACATTTAGACTTGTGTGTGTTTTTTTCCTATCTGAAGGCAGAGCGACATCCCGGGTGTGAAAAATGATGCTGAGCCCGGACCAGGCCGAGGCGGACCTCTCCTGGACCCAGTCCGACCCGGAGACGATGCTGAACGGCCTGAAGGCGGCGGCGGCCGCGGCTGCTGCGGCGGCGGGGGGCTGCGCGTCGGACGAGCCGGCGGAGGGGGAGGAGGACCGGGACCGGGAGCGGGCCAAGTGCCGAGCAGAGCAGCCGCTCAGCCGCGAGGAGAAGCGGCGGCGGCGGCGGGCCACGGCCAAGTACCGCTCGGCCCACGCCACCCGGGAGCGGATCCGGGTGGAGGCGTTCAACGTGGCTTTCGCGGAGCTGCGGAAGCTGCTGCCCACCCTGCCCCCCGACAAGAAACTCTCCAAGATAGAGATCCTCAGACTGGCTATTTGCTACATCTCCTATCTGAACCACGTGTTGGACGTTTAAACTGGGCCAGAACTTGTGTCTTGGGGGCGGYGGGGTATAAACTGGACCCGTCCCGGGCGCCATTTCTTAGGGGGCTTAAAGCGGTTGGCAGCAGCAGCAGCAGCAGATAGCTGGAGGCAAAAGAAAGGGGTGGGTGGGGTGGATGGGTGGGGGACGCAGTATTTTTGAAAAACGTTTGCAGCTGAGATTTAATCCAGACACTTTTCAAGTTGGTTAAATTCAAAGTTGATTAAAAATAATTAAGATAGCCTGTGGGATTAAAAAACAAACAAAAAATCACTAATTTTTGATCTTAACACAGAAAGTCCTGATCTCATTGRTTGGTTTAAAAACTCATTGGATTTTCCCCTTAGTTAAGTTAAATTTTTTTGTCATTAAAGTCATTAGTTTTCTTTTAATAAATTATTCAATCATCAACAAACTGTAATATTGGAAATGACAATGTATGGCAGGCTGCACCGGTAGATTTTCTCCATGAACATTAACAAAAACAATTAAGAAACCGTTTTACACAATTTAAAAACATTGTAACTTAAACTCTATTATTTTTTGTTTTCCTAGATAACAGATTCATATTTTTATTTTGACGTAAAAAAATCTAGTTTTCATGCAATAAATAATTTTATCGCATCTAAAAACTGTAATTGGTCAGACTGCATCGACTCTGGTAGATTTTCTCTGGTAAAGTGCACAGGATGTCTTAAAACATTTGCAGATTAAATTTAACTCAGTTACTTTTTTAAGTTTGTCAAATTCAAGATTGGTTGAAAATAAGTGAAAAAATTACACAATATGTAAAACACAACTTTTTGAACTGAAAAAGTTTTAAACTTCTTAAAGGACGGGCTTAGAAATTATTGTCTCACCTTAAAAACTCGTCAAGATAATTGGTAAATACTTTCATTTTAAACAAGTTTACAGGCATTATGTATCAACAAACACCTCATTGAAATGATAACATGGCAGTAGGTGCAGTAACTCTGATAAAATAAATAAATAAAAATCCTGCATGTCTGACATCTACAGACACATTTGTTTAAGTTGGCCAAATAAAGTTAGTTAAAATAATGAAATGGGCAAATTTACAGTCTAAGGTAACTTTTAAACATCTTTTAAAGCTGGATAAAATCTTTGTAAATCATCAAATGTACGGAAGGCTAGAGAGGCCACATTTAAAAACATTTTCATGACATCTTGAGGTGTATTTTATCAGTAACAGGTTCATGGTATAATTTTTTAAAAGCACACAGTATTTGTTTGAGTTTGTATAAGTTGGCCAAACACTAATTATCTCAAGGTAAAACTTTATAACAAAATAACTTGTTAATGTTACTAATACCAGGTTTGGCTGTAATGATTCAGTAGAAACATAACAAAACAGGTGTTTTCTTTGATCAGAAGGTTTTCTCTGAGAAARCAAACAGATTTAATCCCCTTTTGCTTTAATAATCAGTTTCTTTTATGTTTTTAATTATTACAAATGGGGGAGAAAAACGTTAAAATAAAAGCCTGTTTGGCRGCTTGGGTTTCACCGTACATCACAGTCGCCCCACCAGAGTTTCAGTGAAAAGTTGTTGAAAGAACTGAAGCTTGTCACAGAAGAAGCAAAGCAACGTGTGTTGAGCAGTTTCAGCTGCTGGTTGCAATAATAATGTTAATTTAAAAAAATAAATAAACATACAGCGAGGACAGGGGGGAGGCCGGCGCCCTGAGGCGATCATGTTTCTGAGACGAGAGAAAAATTTGAATTTTCAACCAACACCATAAAGAATATGAGTTTAATCCWGTTTGATTTCATTAAAAAAATAAATAAAGAACGGCTGAAGGCATTTTTCACATCAGAGGAAAAGGAAGTAAAGGCGGTAGCTGCTTTAGATTRATAGTTAGATGAGGTTTTTCCGTAAAGGAAAGAAGAAACGAGAACAAAAAAGACTCAAGTGCCACTTATGACAAGAAATTGTGACCTTAATCATTTTTAAAGTGTATTTATTTATTTATTATGTATTTATTTGTGTCTATCCTATTTAATTTATAAGCTGGCGTCTTTTTGTATAAATGTACATTGTTTGTCGCTTCTATATTTTTAGGCTGTGAAATTGAAATGTGATGGTGTTTCTTTTTAAAAAAAACGGCACTTTCTGTTAATTTACTGCGTTTGTATGTACGTTGGATTGTCTTTGTTTACGACAATGTTGACCACGTCAGCAACAATGAGCACTTCAAGTCGCGGCATCACATGACACCCCCCCCCCAACCCCCGCCGACCTTTTGGCTTCCATAGACACACGTCGAAGTTTCTCATTTTTAAAGAACTGTGRGTCACACAACATTGTTGGGTTTAGGTTGTTGTTGTTTTTTTTCCTGTCGGTTCTCGTAGCGACGCCTCTTCTTTTTGCTGTGACCAAAAACAAACGTGCTAATGTTAGGCCGCTATTTTAGATTAAATCTGTTATTTATTTGTCTCTTCTTTGTATCCCGGAAATTCCAATAAGTAATTTTATAGAAAAAAAGTGGGGGAGGGTAAAAATAAAAAAACAACATATCTTCTATCCAAAGATTTTTTTGTCTCTTCAGGGTTGTGTAGACTACTTGTTGCTTTATGCAGATTTTTAGTAGAATATGGTGTAACAGGTGTTTCTAATGGACAAACTTTTTCATATTTTCCGGTGTTATTTTTAATTAAAAATGAAAACACTAACAAAGACTCCGTTTTCTGTTTTGGAATGCTGTTTTTAACCAAAGTCACYTTAGGGTTTTAGCATCAGTTACGTATAGTTAAATGTATGGCAAGACATTTTAATGAATAATAGCAAGGCAGAAATTGTAAAGCATTTGTTCAGAATTGAATTCTTCTCAGTTATACACTTGGTTTAGTAAAACCAAGTGTAAGTAATTGGTAATTGGAATAATAACTTGCAATGATGCAAATATCTAGAAAGATATTTTAGATAATTGGTAGCAGTTTGATAAAAAGCCATGCTAAAATGAATTTAGTCTAATTAAAATTATGCTGATGAGACACAGTAGATTGTAGATTTTGTTTTTGGTGTCGGCAGGGTTTATTCTAGTTTGGAAGTTCCTTCTGGACAACTACAAATAAGGTTTGTTACCATCAATAAATAAACATTCATGGAAGGAAGAAAAAATATTTGAAATGTTATTTGTACTGTATGCAGAACTCCATCTGTAACAGATGTCTATTAAACAGGAGCGCCACCAATGGAGAGACAAGGGGGGGCAATGGCCACCCCTAAATATTTGGTGGCCTCTCCACTGGCCCCCATTAACCAGTTTTATTCTCTTGAGTCTCAAGGTTTTTAGTGGCATGAATTTTTAATTTCATTGAGCTATAGTGTTAGTAGAATCTCATAAAACATTGTTTTTGAGCAACAGGAGTAAAAATATAAATCTGTATTTTTAAAATTAAAAATAAAACCTAAAATCTACTTGCCCTGAATAAAAACAGCCAGTCYTATGCTGAGTATTGCAGTATTTGTCAAGAAATACTTATGAAAACAACATAGTAAATTTGACATTCTGTTCTGGGTCTGGTTCTTGTACACCCCCCACCCCCACCCACCACCACCACCCCATCCCTGAATTTGAATGTCTGTAGGCATCATTGTTTTTTAAATTTTTTGAACATAGCATTTCCCAACAACCTATGTAACCTCTCCTGCTGGGGTCAAAATAACCCACTAGGCCACAGCCCAAAGTGGTCTGCCATGGCATCTTACGTGGCCAGTYTTGACCATAAACTACATCTCCAGTAATGCAGAGGTTAATTTTACACATTGATGAAATGACAACATCTCACCATTAGGTGGAGGTTCGCAGGGCTCAGAAGTAGCCAGCAGTTGGCAAAATTTGCAGTGTAAAATCTCCATTGTGCTGCATTTTCACCATCTGCTGTTGTTGCTTTTGCTTTTGTACTGGAAAGTTGGAATTTCCCACTTACAAGTCGTAAATTTAAACTGGAACACCAGGGGGCGTGTCGCTCTGRGTTTTTATTTTCTGTTTTTTATGTTTACAATTTTTGTTTGTTTTGTTTTCTAATTGAAAAACAAATTATTCAAACATAATAGAATTGTTACAATATTATATTTTATTTGATTAACTATATATTTGAATACTTGATTCATTGTTTCTACTTCTGCTTTGGGGAGGCCCAAGAGAAAAAAAGTTACAATGTGGGTTATTTAACCCCTGGACAGCGGGAGGAGTTAGAATGTTTTAGATATTTACAATTTAAATTCTTGTAAGAGCGACATGATGGTCTGCTGCCACGAAAGGCAGGCGATCATTCATGGGATTGCCTGAGTGTCAGTTAGCAAAATCTGTCTCGAACCCTTGGACATACACTATTGAAATGGTTAGTGTTAAAAGTTTCTTTGAGGAATGCTTGTTATGTTTTAACTAGAATGAAAGTTTTCACAAAAAAATAACAATATAGAAATGTGGATTGGATTGAAGGATGAAGTCAGGGTCAGGCATACTGGTTGAGAAAGTAGTGCTGGGCGGTATACCGTTTTGTACCGAATACCGGTTTTTATTTTTGTTACGATACGAATTTTTTGAATACCGGACATTCCGGTTTAAATAGCGGAACGTCTCGTTGCGGCCGCCAGTGAACTGTTGTTTCCCGGGGGATATTTTTCCTTGCTGCACCGCTATGTGCGTTAGCATGCTAATGGCTGTGTCCAAAACGACAGGCCGGGTCCTCCGGAGGACCCAGACTACCCGGTCGAGGTG